AGTTGAAAAAGCACAGGCTAGAATAAATGATTTTTATACACTCCCGCTCAAAAGTATGGTTTCACTTCTCGAAATTTTCAGCTTCGGTATAAGTTCCATATCTTGGTGGAAAAAGGTCGTAAGAGAATTTAATGAGCACCGTTTTGAAGCTGACAGTTTTAGCTTCACTTTGCCATTTTTTATAATTTTTTACAATTTTTTTTATAGTCCCCACGCGCTTTTGAACATGGCAGTTTTTCGATGTTTTTTTGTCCTCTGGGAACGGGCTGTCTGGCTGTTAAAAAATTTTCCTTGCAATTTTATCCATCGCAGTTTGAAAGAGGATATTAAACACTGCATTTTCGTTTTTGAAAAAGTATCGTGCGATTTTTTTACCAAAAATATTCTAATTTTTGACAAAAATTGATAATTTTATTCAATTCGGCGTATCTTGAAAACGGCGGGTGATCGAAGAAAATAGCAAGAGGGTGAAAAGTTGCAATAGATCATGATGGACATGGTAGATTTATTTCAGAATTTTTTTCCGACATTTGTTTTTCCATACTCGTGGAGTCGAAATGATTTTAATTTTCCCATGATTCTTTCTTTTTTCTAAACGGCTGAGGCATTGCTTTTATTGGTTTCATCTTCATCTTGACGTAATTTGAACTAAAAATTAATTTTTTTAAATGAAAAAAACGTACAAAAGCTTGTGCGAAATTTGATTTTTAGTAAAAATTACGTCAAGATGGTTATAAAACCAATAAAAGAAATGCCTGCGCCGTCTAAAAAAAAGAAAAAATCATGAGAAAATTTAAATCATTTCGACTGCAAGAGTATGAAAAAACAAATGTCGGAAAAAAATTCTGAAATAAATCTACAAGGTCCATCATGATCTATTGCAACTTTTCACCCCCTTGCTATTTTCTTCGATCACCCGCCGTTTTCAAGATACGCCGAATTGAAAAAAATTATCAATTTTTGTCGAAAATTAGAATATTTTTGGTAAAAAAAATCGCACGATACTTTTTCAAAAACAAAAATGCAGTGTTTAATATCCTCTTTGAAACTGCGATGAATGAAATTGCAAGGAACATTTTTTAACAGCCAGACAGCCCGTTTCCAGAGGGCAAAAAAACATCGAAAAACTGCCATCGGGACTATAAAAAAATTGTAAAAAATGGCAAAGTGAAGCTAAAACTGTCCCCTTCAAAACGGTGCTCATTAAATTCTCTTACGACCTTTTTCCACCAAGATATGGAACTTATACCGAAGCTGAAAATTTCGAGAAGTGAAACCATACTTTTGAGCGGGAGTGTATTTCAAAAATAATTTAACGGAAACAGAATTTCAATCATACATATATTATGTAGGTTTGTGGGTAGGAATGGAGCACATATATATTTTATATTGGCGATATTGACGTTTGAGTGGACCCGATTAAAACGTTCGCTTTCTCGCTTTTAATCTTTCAAATTTATCGGCCCGTGGCGCCCCCTTCTGCCACGGCGCCCTAGGCTCGGGCCTAGCGGGCCTAGTGCATAAACCGCCCCTGCCCCCAGCCTCAGGGCTATATTATTATTTAAAGATATAATTTCAGGGGCTGTGGCCCACAAGAGAGGGGCCCCTCACAAAGAGAAAACAACCCCACTGCTGGGGCACAGGCCTTCCTGTAAACAGAGGTTTTGCCTGCGTTAACGAAAAAAAAAGGCCTTCCCTGTACATGGAATTGGGAGATTGAAACGTGACCCACCACGCACCACGCGGCCCAGTGCGGATTGATGGGTGCTTACGACTGCAGATACAGCCTGGCCCAACGGCGGCAGCGTCAGAAGCACGGAGAAGCTCGAGATAACAAGTTTTTGGTCACCCATCCAATGATCGACCATTGCGAAAGTTGCTTAACTTTTACGATCGCAGACCGAATGACGGAGATTCTTCTTTCTTTCATTTAAATTAACGTAAATATTCTGCCTGTTCTCCGGATCTTCATGGCGCAGGTGGATAGCGCTTTTATTCCGCGGCAATGGAGTAAAGAACTTGCGCAGAGGTCTACCTCTACTACATACTACATCCTATAATCTATTATAGGATTTATTATCACGAGCTACTTGTTGCTTCGAGAAGCACGTAAAGCCGTTGATCCTAGCTACATCTGCAGTCGTTACCCATGACAACGGCTAACTGTAGTCGAGGTCAAAGTCTCAGATACGCCCTCTAGTTAAACCAATCCCCTCAGGTTCGAGCGGTCTAGAGGATTCAGACGAAGAGGAGACTCCCCCCGCGGGGAGATGCCATCCGCCTGGAATACCTCTAGAGACACTCGCCAATTCTCGGCTTTAGGTCCCCTTAGGATCTCGCCATCTCCAAACCCGGTGACACTGCAAGGTCATCTGCGGCTTCAAAAAAAAAATAAAAAATGCAGTCATTAACTGCTAATCCGCACTGGGCGATATAGTGGGTCCTCTGGAACAATCTCGCTATTCCATCCATAGAGCAAGCCTGTGCTGCAGCAGCAGTGGTAACATCAATAGGCTAATGATAATATTTAAAGCACAAAACAAAAACAAAAACGAATCTTTAAACATTTATGAATATATAGTGACTAGCAAAACTTTTGTTTGAGCGGTGTTAAGCAGGAATCTTCCAGCGGGCATAGTTGATGCAAACAAAAATAAGTACTGTGGAACAATGTTAAAGTAGGTATGATTGTGTAAGTAGGAAGCGACCATAGGTCAGTTTTTGGTTAAAAAAAATCAGTCTCCAACATGGGCTCGTAGATGAAATTTTTCACTTATTTAAAAAATGCCTGCTAGTCGCTTTTTGCTTAACAATTACTCTCATTTAACATTCTGATTCATATAAGTATCATCGCTACAAATAAAAATTTATACTCATTAAAAAGTTTGACACAATTAATGAAAGCTATCTATGATAAACTCCATGTAAACTCCATAGCCAATCTTGACTCATATCTGACAATGTGATTGCGAGTAAACAACTTAAAGCAAACCAATGGAATACTAAGTTAATACTACCTACATAAATTTTGATTAGGAATAATACAGATTATCAATATATTATTATACTGATAATTTTTATTATTGTATGACAATGTTTAAGATTTTCTGTGAAAGTCTTTTTGTATATTTGTTAAACACTCTTCCTCTTCAATCCAAAAAAATTAATACACATCATTCTAAAATTTATTAAATTTAAACATAAGTAAAATAAGATTCTTCATTATGATTTTATTTATTTTTTAAGCATTTAACTGCTAGATGTTTAAATCTAAAGAAAAGTTTACTAGAAAAAAAAATTTTCTAGTAAACTTTTTTTTTTTTCTAGTAAACTTTTCTTTAGATTTAAGATTCTTCATGTCAAATTTTATAGTTATAATTATTTCCTGCTTGGCTTGTAATTAGTCATTAATGTTAATGCTGATAAGTTTATTGCGCCCATTCTTCTTCTCAGCTTAAAGATGTCTGTCCAATATTTTTTCCTATCACCCAGATAAGAAAAAATATTGGACGGTTCAAAATAGCTTACAATAAGTCAATTTGAATAAGGTATATTTCATTTCATCAAAGAATTTGTTAATTGAATAATAACAACAGTGTTCAATTCAATTCAATTCAATTTATTGCACTCATGTGGTTACATCGATGGTTACAAAATGCTTATAGTACCTAACATGAACCCTGTCAGGGTATCGCAATATACAGTACAGTTAAAGATAAAAATTACAAAAGAATTTAATTAATAAACAGTTATGTATAACCTAATTTGTATTAAACCACTTAAATCTCAAATTATGCATAAATGTCATTTTGTTTAACAATCTTCAAACACTAATTTAAATAGTGCATTACATTCATTCCATTCAATAAAAATGAAAATACAGGGTATTGTGGATTTCCCGCTCGAAATGGAGCACACTCCTTGCTGCGTAAGCTTTCACTGAGTAGAAGAGGAATTGGCTTAGGCTGGTAAAACATAGTATGATAAAAGTGGGCAGCTGGCAGAAGCGACATCTTTTTAAGACACTTTTATTAGTTTTAAAAAAAATTGTTATTTTAAATAATTTAATAATTGGGAAAATTAGTGCAATTTCAACATCAAAAATTAGAAAAATAACAGTAATTAAAAAAATGAATAGAAAAGGGGATTTGTGCAGAGGATTTTGGGTCAAATCCACATTCAAATGGGGAACATTTTTCCAGATCTGAAAAAGTTTTTTTAGAGAGAATGATAGATAAAAATATTACAATATTACATATTGTCACTAGTTGATATTATGGCGAAACTTATTAATGCGTCTTGTTAAAAATAATCCTGAAAATTACAATAATAAAGATTCTTGTGAAAAGGTATTTTATTATGAGTAATAAGTACTTAACCAATCCACTCCAGATATACAAACAGATTTGAAGAAAAACAGGAACATAAATATTTATTTACAAACAAACAAACGGAACACCGCCATAAAGTTTCCCGGAAATGTCAAAAGTAAAAAAGTAACGGAAGTGGCAATAACAACAAAAAAATATCGATAAATATTTATCGATTATAATTATGTCCCTTTGCACAATTGTGAAAAAGAAAGAAAGCGCAATGACTTAAAAACCACGTGGAGCGGCAAGGTCGAATTTATGTTTTCAACTTGTCAAGCCCGGCGTGTGATAAATTAATTCTACGGGCCGTTATCGCAGCACAGTCAAACAATTTTCAACCTAAATCCCTTGAGAAAAGGTGTATTCTCGTCTGCGGTCTGTACCCACGCATAGTCGCCAACCCAGGCAATATATCTTAGGCCGTGTACTGTCCGTGACAGTTCGTAAACAAACTGGAGCTACCGCAACAAAGGTTTACTGACATTTTTTTCAGTAAAAACACTTCTAAGCCTAAATAGACACACGCCCAGTATGTACTTTCGCATAAAATATCAATAATCACGATGTTTCAAAATGATAATAAACCTTTTTAAACCGATTAATCTATAGATAACAACAAAAACTTACCAGAATGAAGAACCAAGAAGGCAAAAGCTAGCGCAGAGTCATCTGTAATACATCTTGCACATATCGATCACAGTCTTGCAGTCTCTCAAAAACACTAATAAAAAAAGGATGAGGTTAGCACCAAAATTCAGGATTTCTGGGACACTTATCTATCATACGTCACAAGTAAATGTTTAGTAAATACGTATTTGATGATCAACCGACGCACTGAGCGAGTAATGTGTGGTCGTAAAATGATTCACAATCAAAATAAAAATAGTCTGGCAGACGCTCTGTCGACCGCCGCGCTGCTGTCTGTCTGCCGTGCTGTCAATATTCGTCAAAACGAAAATGGCGACACCCTCGACAGAATACGATCAGCGCCAGCCTGCCTGTTTACGGCTCTCGCTCTAAATTCATCAGACAGAAAAGGATAGACAACCGGCGTGCTGTCTTCAAGCCGACCGGACTGATTTGTGATGTCACGCCCAGCGGCGTAACGTTTTGCGTAATTACACGTCCGAGATCGCCTGTAAACTTGTTTTAATAACGTTAATTTACGATCATTTCGTACGCGAGGTCGACAGACGAAAGTGTCGGTCATGGCATAGGTTAATTATAGTGTAATATAACATTATAACTGTGTAATAGTTCTTTGCGCATGTTAGGCCCGTCCCACCACTCAATATCTGTCGTAAGAGCGCCTCCTACTTCTTTTTATTTTATTCAGTTTTGTCTTTTTTTCAGGCGTACATCTTAGCTGCATTAATACGAATCGGAGTCGCAATGCAGTTTATTTAATAATAAAGTGAACTACAAGACTTCTCTAACGAATTAATTAATAAAGATGCCAACTAAGGGTAAATTAGGCACTATATTTTTATCAACGTCTGGTATTTTGAGCATTCAATGATATATTTTTAATAATGTTTATTATTAGCACCTAGCATAAAAAATACGTGTAATGTTTTTTTAATCAAAACGTCAAACAGGTATCTAGATAAACATGATTTAAAGAATATTTCAATAAAAGAATAATAAGAGAACAAAAATCCTAATAATGAACAAAATTAAAATACAATAAAAATATATTACACTTATCTTTTTTATCGATAGAAATAATAATAGTGTTATTTTTATCTTTTTCATCGTTACCAACCACACACGGTAAATTTAATACTGCATCTTAAAAATCATTTAATAATAAACAAAAAATGCATTGAATTTTTATGCCTTAAACTTTTACTTTTAATTTTCACACCCATTTTATAAAGAGGAGTGTCGCTTTTTCTAAATTAAAATTAGTTGTAATGTGCCGTTCATGATCATTTTGAAATTGCGGATAACTTTAGTTTATGGTTGTGTTTGTGTAATGAATGTTAAAATAATATTAAATCCGAAAGGAAATACATATTAGGTAAGTGATAGGTAGGTAAAGGTATGTGTAAGAGCGTTTATACATTGTCCGACCCGATATCGGTACCCAACGTCGACACGATAGCGTGGCAAGTAAAATGTATGAAATATGCATAGAAATGTATACATGTACCGACTTTCAAAAAAAAATCATCACTGGTTATATAGATACCTTAAACGATTTTCCCGACCTCTCCGACCATAGAGAAACTAAGTATCTATTTTTGGAATGGATCGGAGGTATTTGTAGACCAAGCCTATCGTGCCTAGACCCGGATAGTAATCGTTTTATTAACAAACCCCCTTCTTTACACAGTAAGCTATGTACAGAAGTATTCTTATTCATTACATCACATACACTTAATCGAATTATTATAAAAAAACAGATGTTCGTCCCTCTTCATTCCAAATTCCGAATATCATTAGACTTCTTCTTCTTTTTCGTTTTTTCATGATAGAGGTTTATGACAGCATGAGGTTATTCCGTGTGTTGGAGCTCCAATTTCTCCATGTTGTTCAGTTTACGGCCATCCAGGTAGACGTCTCATTTGCATGTCTGTTTGGCAAGTCTCCTTTACAATATCGGTCCACGCCTCCTCTTTCCTTCCACATTGCCTACAATCTACAACAAGGAGTCCGAACTACTAAAGGACATGTTGCATACAGACAATTGATAAACGGGTCTTTAAGTTCACTTCATTTAGGATTGAAGCGTTAGTGCAACGCACTGTCCATGGGATCCATAATATTCTCCGCAAACACCAAAACTCGGATTGGCCATTATTTAATAATCCGAAGAAAATCAAAATTTTGATCAGCAGAGTAACGGAATGAGCCGATAAACATTTTAGAAGTTAGCTAGTCAAAAATTTGTTTAAAAAGGCTCGAAACATCAAGAATAATGTAAACTAATAATAAAAAAAAGTCTTTTGGAACATTAGGAAGAAGTAAGGTTTGAAGCTTTTGAACGTATTAAAATTTGGTGATTTTGATGGCATGTTTAACAAAATTTTGGCCAAATGTCGATTTGGTTACTGTTCACTCTACTACGGTGACTATTTGGCTGATTTCATCGGAAATATGTGAAGATACTACACGATATCGACTATCGGCGTTTGATAGGTACCGACATCGGATAATGTAAAAACTCTGTAACAGAGTCCATGGATACAATTTTTTATTATTTTTCAGTTGGCAATACTACCTTATGAAACTTCAAATATGTCAATGTCAAAAATCCGCCGTCCGTTGTTCGTCCGTTGTTCGTTTGAAAATCTTAATTTGGATTACGATAGAAGTCGTCTGCAAATTTTTTTTATAACTGTTTTTAAAATCACATAGGTAATAATTATGGCTGAGAAAAATCACACATCAAGAATAGCGTCCTACAAAAATGCTGGCCAAGGAACTAATGTAAGTGCCGAACACAATTTCGATAGTGGTCGACTATTTCTTTGTCTTGGACCTTGCTTGACTCACGAGGTATTTTCTTTTTATTCTTAGCCCACCAGAACCCACCTTTTTATTATACTGGCACGTATAATAAAAAGGTTAGGTAATGTTATTAATTTTCTAACCAAATTGATTATTTATGACCTGTAGAGTAGATAACCTGACTGAAAGTTATTATAATCCTTCAAAAGTACAAACTTAGCTACCTACATAATTTCAATAGAGATTGCCTTTTTATATTAAAAAAGGGATATACTGTACTTCCAGGGCCCAAAAGTAAAAACTTCAGTTTTGTTGATTGTAATTTCGCATTTTTGTTGTTAAAAAGGTTTCTGTTAACCACATTATTAAAAAAAATGTCACACTTATGCACTGGTAGTTTTTTAGAAAAAAATATTGAAAATTTTTACTTAATAAGAGTACACATGTATGGCGAAATTGGATTTGCAGTGATCACAGTTTTAACAACTGCTTTATTACAAAGTTAAAAGTAATGTTTGTATTTTTAATCACTTTGATTTTTTCGTAAAGTTACATCTTGTTTTAATTTCACCAGGAAAATATTTAAATACTTAATAAGTATAGAACCCAAGGCTAATATGATTAATTTTACCCATAATTTAGGTATAAAGTAATGCTGATCAACAAACCGTATCCCCCCCCACAATAAAAGTTGGTCTTTAATTTTATTGGTTAAGGTACTGTTTTGTTTAAGATAAATAGGATACCATGAAAAACTAAATAGTTCTCTTAAAGTTTTTATATAGAACTACCCTCATACAGAAATCAACAATATAAAAGCAATAAATTTCAAATATTTCAATATAATCAGTTCATCCCAACTTAATTGCAAACAGTATAATTGTATAAGACAACTAATTTAATTGTATAAAAAATGTACAATAATATATAGTTAATTTTTTAACATTTTACATCGATTTTGATACAATTTTTATTTTGAATAAATATATTTTTAATTCTTGGTTACATGTATTTTTTTCTTTGCTTGTATTATTATTTTTTGAAATGAAATCCTTTTAAATTCATTTTGTCATATGTTTGTCTGATTTTGAAAGCCTATAGAATATTTGCATGTGCAACAGAATACACTGGCAATTAACGCTATAACACCTTTTGTAACCATATTGCTGCAAATAAATTAATGCTGGAACTAAGATCATTTATTGAGATGTAAAAGTGTTGTAAATTACCATGAATTGTTTACAAAATTTAATGTTTGTACTCATTACATACATACATAAATGCCCATTCTGGTAATAGAACCAAGGAACTTTCTGGAGCAGAATACTGCTTTTGCACCAACTAGTCTTTGATGTGTGATTATTTCAATATTGAAGTTCTCTGTTGGAATCGATTTGATGTTCTTCAGTTCTTGTTTATCTCCACTCCCAATCCAGACTGGTAAAAGAATTATTCATACAAATACTAAGAAACATTCAAATAAATTCTTATAATATAAAGGATTTATTATTTCAAAACAAAGCTTATAAAGAATCCTAAAACGTCAGGAATAATGAAATACAGTAAACATTGCTATTACTATACTTTTTAAAAAGTGTTTTATTCAGATTACCTAATTGCTTATATTCTTACGGGAGCTTCATCAACATAGCTCACACTATACTTGTTAAAAAAGGGTTTTATCAGAATTACTTATTTGCTTATTATAGGAGCTTCGTCGCAAGCGAGCTGAGCTTAGTGTTGCGCTTCGGAAACAAGCGAGAGATGAGCAACTGCTCAAACGTAGGGCCATGTCTCCGGAGGCCGGTGACGAAGTCCATACGGAGGAGAGACTCATGACACCACAGGAAATTGTTCAAGGTATCTTTTCGCTGTGTTGTACTTATACTTCATTCTGATAATAATATGTAATTAATGCCATTTATACGTATATTTTTTACTGTGACTATTACAGTACAATCCGTTTATTATGACTTCGAAGGGAATCGACAAACACGTTATACTAAGCGGACGTCATACAAAGCATTTTTGTGAAAAAAGATTGTGAGATGAGTTTGATTCTCCATTTTCTAATCAGCATATTATTGCACCTTTTTCCTCAGTCGTAAATTCTTTACGACGTTGAGATGACATTTTTTTACATAGCATATCACTAAAAACAATGCTTGATGTTCAATTTGAATCAACGAACATTACCGTAGGTGTAAAGAACCATGTCGGTCACTATAAACGCACAAAATTGATTAAAAATAAGCGACATGTCACTGTAAGCGAAGTCATTATATCCGACATTGTTACAATGAATTTTATATGAAAACCAAACTTCGTTGTGTAATTACGTCATAATAGGCGGTTGGTCAATATAGGCGGAGTCATAATAAACGGATTCTACTGTACTTGCACCAACATTCGTAAATCAAATTTGTAAATAGAGGTAGAATTAATCTTTAAAATTATTAGATTTTCAATAATTTGATTTAAGAACTGCTGTTACTTTATCCGTCTTAGTAAGTTTTTGAAAATCACAAAAGAACCTAACATTTTCCCGAGAGAAAAAGAATCCTTTATTTCAATCCAAGCAACTATGTGTGTCCCATATTTCATCAAAATCCGTTCAGCGGTGAACAAACATACAGTTCTAATTCTGTTTCAACAGTACAATTTTATCCAACACCATAAATGTAATATGAATTTCAATTGAGTTTTATTTATATCATCATCATCAGCCTATTAATGTCCCCACTGCTGGGGTACAGGCCTTCCCTATGGATGGAATAGGGAGATTGGGCCTTGACCCACCACGCGGGCCCAGTGCGGATTGGTGGGTGCTAACGACTACAAATGCAGCCGGGACCAACGGCTTAACGTGCCTTCCGAAGCACGGAGGAGCTCGAGATAGTAAATTTTCGGTCACCCATCCAATGACCCACCACTGCGAAAGTTGCTTGAATTCAACGATCGCAGCGGAACGCGCTAACCACTTGCGCCATTGAGCTCCTCCAATGCCATTGCCATGCCATTATTGTTCTTTAAATAAAAAAGTAATAAAATTCGAATGCATCTCACGCACGCTAGGTCATCACGCGCCAGAAAGAAAAATTTGTTAATAGACTTTTTCTACAGAAAAATCAAATATCACCTCTAGGCGCTGGAAGTACAGATTTACCTTTAAAACTCCTCTAATTTTTAATAATTATCATTTCTGTAAAAAAACGCCGGGAGGGGGGGGGGGGGGGGGGGTTACCCTTCCCTCTGAGGGGTTTTCCCTAATACCTATCCCCCTGAAATTCCACTACATATAACAGATTTTATGAATTTTTAGGTTAGGTAAAAAAAAAACTGCATTTCCGCCAAAAACCATTTATGGCGGGGAGGTCGGGGGGAGCCCCCCCCTCCCCCTCCCCTACAAATTACCCCGAAATTCAATTACATATAATGGAATTAAGTACCTTGGTTCAGTCCTGCCAATGTGAAGATTGTGCCACACATTTTAAACTTTATCTAATTTTCGACGTCATTCTCCAACTGTAAAATTAAAAATATGTTATAGACAGGTTTTGTAAGTATTAGGTTACTAATGCGTTTTTACGTACAAGCAGATTAATTAAGCATATAACAAGTATATTCGCCGACTTACATCAAAGTGATCTCCTCAGCATCGAATAATGGTCTTTGGAGAATAATTGTCATTTCTCTTCGCAGCTTGAAACCACTTTTTTTTCAGTTTTGGGTCAGAAGTTCCAGTCAAAAACAATTTATTTGGGAACTTTGTTGAAGTAGATTGGCACAAAACATGAGTCAACACGGCTTTTTTTCGGAATATTAGTGGTATTGTTATGATCACATGATGTTGATGGATAGTCCATTTTAATTTTTTTTAAAAAATATTTCGAAAGTCGAAAAAATATGCAAAAGTATGAAAATTTAAAGCCAGCAACGAACAATTACGACCAGTGACAGACAGGAGTGACGTCATCGCAACCATAGGTTCGTTTTCGCGCGAAAATTTAAATTGTCAATTTAAAACCGCATTTTTTCCGATAAATCACAATGTTTTAATTTTTTAATATATCTGTGGTTTATTCTACATGGAATTCTTTAAAATGAAAACAAAAATAAAAATATTGCATCTTCCCTATTACGTCATAATAGGCGGTTGGTCAATATAGGCGGAGTCATAATAAACGGATTCTTCTGTACTTGCGCCAACATTCGTAAATCAAATTTGTAAATAGAGGTAGAAATAATCTTTAAAATTATTAGATTTTCAATAATTTGATTTAAGGACTGCTGTTACTTTATCCATCTTAGTAAGTTTTTGAAAATCACAAAAGAACCTAACATTTTCCCGAGAGAAAAAGAATCCTTTATTTCAATCCAAGCAACTATGTGTGTCCCATATTTCATCAAAATCCGTTCAGCGGTGAACAAATATACAGTTCTATATTTGTTTCAACAGTACAATTTTATCCAAGACCATAAAGGTAATATGTTTTTCAATTGAGTTTTATTTATATCATCATCATCAGCCTATTAATGTCCCCACTGCTGGGGTACAGGCCTTCCCTATGGTTGGAATAGGGAGATTGTGCCATGAGCCACCGCGGGCCCAGTGCGGATTGACGACAGATACAGTCGGGACCAACGGCTTAACGTGCCCTCCGAAACACGGAGGATCTCGATATAGAAGATTTTTGGTCACCCATCCAATGACCAACCACTGCAAAAGATGCTTGACTTCAACGATCGCAGCCGAACACGCTAACCAGCCGCGCCATCGAGCACTCTTTATTTATATAAATAATGACAGTATCAAAATAGACTGATAATTCAATCTTTTCTGTTCTAGTATTATCAGCAGAACTAATACTTCATAACTCCATTAATACAAAGTAATATAAGTTTCTTCGTCACAACCAGAATTTGGTGGTTTATTTCATAACTATGAAAATACAGTAGAACACCGATTATCCGAATAAATTAGGACCGGGGTCGATTCGGATAAACGGACATAGGCTGGTAATAAAAATAAAGAAAAACACATAGAATTAACCTTATAAAGTTAAAACAACACAGTTCTTCAATACTAAATACAGTGATAGAGGTCTTCAATACTAAATACAGAACAGATGCGGTCGCAGCCTGAAATTTTGAAGGGTGTCCACTCACTACACTAATAAAAAATAGGTATCTGGAATAAAATAAACATTATTCCACACCTTAAATTTGGGGGGGGGGGGGGGGGGAGGGGGGGTCATGTCCCTTTCGGACCGCGCCTGGCTTCCAACCATAACAGTTGAAATATATCTGGACTCCACCAAGTTCCACCTTGTTACAACAAAAGAAAACAAAAAAACTTGGGTTTTAATTTTTTATATTAAGCTTAGGACCGATTCGGTTAATAGGCGTTCTACTGTAATGAAATTTTCCTCTTCCAGGTCTTAAGTCCTCAGACTTGGCAACTAAAACAGCCGCAGCTCGAGGTGCCAGAAAGATGTTGTCCCGGGAGCAGAATCCTCCAATATCCATCATGGTGGAAGCTGGAGTTGTCAAACCACTAGTCGAAGCTTTAGACAGAGACGACTGGTGAGTCTGAATTACCATAATCTACCTTCTAATTTCTCCATTACTGGGGTACAAGCCTTCCTTATTGACAGAATTATTTAGGAAAAATCAACCGTAACATAACACATTGGTATGTGTCATGGTGGATGTTAATAACTGCATGTTAATATAACTAGAAAAAATTCCATGCGGACCAGGCAGCAGATGGGACTCGAACCCGCCTCCCTTTCCAGGCGAATGCACTGACCATTATGCTAACGCGGCCCTGATGGCCGTGTCGAATTCTTTCCAGAAAGCCTTCCAGCCTTTCTTAAGCTGCAAGGCAGCGCGATCTCTTCGCATTGCAGGTAACGCACAATGTCAAATGAATACCTTTACAAGTATTAAACATTTGAATGAAGAAATAGCAATTAGGGTTATAATTTTTATTTTTTATGCATGTAACTGCTTGATGTTTAAATCTAAAGAAAATATAACTAGAAAAAATTTCACACGGATCAGGCAGCAGATGCCATTTTTTTCTTACTATTATTATGCTACTACGGCCCTTATGGCCGTATCGAATTTTCTCTAGTATTTCTTAGGCTTGCCTAAACTTTCATTTGGCATTGTGGATCTTCTCTAGCCCTGATTTTACATTGTGGGTTTGCTACAATGCGAAGAGATGGCGCTGCCCTGCAGCATAAGAACGGCTAGAGAAAATTCGATACGGCCGTTAGTGTTGCGGCAGCATTATGGTCAGTGCATTCGCCTGGATAGTGAAAGGTCCCGTCTGCTGCCTGGACCGCGTGGATTTTTTTATAGTAAAATTTTCTTTACATTGACATGTTTGTCATGAAAGATAAAAGTAAGTTGCAGCAGTAGCTGCTGCTTAATGTGTTTTATGAAACATGGAGGAAATTTCCAGTAAATTTTAATCACCCATTCGATGACAGGTACCAATATTTAATATCTTATCTAAATGCAACAACACGAACAAAATCGTGGCCGAAACCTGTCCAAAAAGTACATTAGACGATCAACGCATTTCCGTAAGATGATAGCGTAGGCAAAACAATATAAGGCATTATTCAAACATTCAAAGTCATCTTTAATGCACACTGCATTGAGGTCTTAATTTAAACGCATGTGTCAGAGTTATGACAGTTCGAAATGCAAGCTCGTACATTTTACGACTTATTGTATATAGGCGGAAGAATATAGACTATTTCTATGACTTTCTATCGTAATTACAAGCAATACAGGTACGGACCACGAGGAAAAGAGACGGCTATATAAGCAACCATGCATTTGAAAATCACAAATATTTTCTATTAAATCAGTTTATAGTAAGTATTAGAACAAAATTTTCTTCGATTAGATACCTGTCGAAAAAACGCCACCTCCTCAAACGGTGGTACTATTAAGTATATTTTTCGCAATTTTTTCACGGAGCTCTGCAGCATGTTGTCTTTTTAACGGTCCGCGCGTGACTGTGAACCAAGAAGTGCTTGAGTGGTGTTCAAGCACTTCTTGATAGGGACACATTTTCAGCGCACGTGGTGTATTTAATATTGTTGAATACAGGCCATTAATAAAGTTGCTATACTTCCAAAATAGCAAACCGAACATGCTAACCACTTACTATGCAGCAGATTTTTAAATCTTAAACATAATTATTTTTAGTTTTATCGCTTGTTTTTAAATTTTTATATTGTATAATTCTATTTTATTTTTATTTTAGCACCGACCTTCAGTTCGAAGCCGCTTGGGCGATCACAAACATAGCGTCTGGAACGCATGATCACACGATGTGTGTTATAGATGTAAGTGCAATCCGTATCCTAATTTAGTAATTTATTCTATGCCAACAAATTTCATTTCCCACCAGTCCCCCTAGTATTAACACCGAAATCTATACTAATATAAATGCGAAAGTGTGTCTGTCTCCCTGTATCTCTATCAGTTTCCCTAGCACGAACCATTATTGAATTCGAATAGTTTGCAAACTGAAATGTCAGCGAAAATATTGTATGGCAACTTGAACAGCAGCGCCAGAAAAGTACGTAACGGGAACTAAAAATCAGTACACATTTGACATTGACATTTCAGTTTGCAAACTATTCGAATAGGGATGATGACTAATTTTTTTTTCTTCGTTTATCAGGTAGGTTATCAAAAAGTATTGGACACGTATTTTTTCTTTTTTCACAAAATATAAACATTGCAGAGATATATTGATTTGAAAAGTCGCATGACGTCACGTTTGAGTACACTCAAAAGTGACGTCACGAGCCCCTACTCCCAAATTGACGCGCTATAACTTTGTCATTTTTTGGTTGATTGCCCAAAGAAAAAATACGTGTCCATTATTTTTTGATCATCTAACTGACGGACTAAATAGAATTTCGTTTCCTGTACCCCGTCATCACCCCTATTAGATAATGGTGCATGCTAAGGGTACTGTAAATACAGTACAGATAATAAATTTTTGGTCACCCATCCAATGACCGACCACTGCGAAAGTTGCTTAACTTCAACGATCGCAGCCGAACGCGCTAACCACCTGCTCCATCGAGCTCCTCCTTTATACGCATTTAAATGCATAATTAAAAGAAAAGTGACATTAAAAAGACCTAAAACGCCAGCTATTCTCTCAAACTTTGAATGCATTATAATAGTACTATTAAATTGAAGATATATTTTTATTACGATTATCGTATGAGTAGATTTGTTGTTGAGGATAACATACAGAATCTGGTGTTCCATTGAGCATCCAACTCCTCTATAAAATAATCTAAGCTGAGTTCTCTATGTCCGATAATTTGCCTATTCAGCTGATAGTTTGGCCAGTGTATTCGGGTGGTGATCTAGTCTATTCTTGTATTCGTCAAATGTATACGTAATTTCTTCCTTAACAGTGTTGATGCGAAGATATTGGTGAAGTCCAGAGTTTCTAATAAACCATGGGGCATTTAAAATCAGTTTTAGAATCGATTTAATCTCATCGATTAAATCTCCTCTCAAATGATAATTTGATCCTTGAAATACCGATTCACCATACTAGGTTTGTCTCCAGTTCATTCACCCTTACTGCCATTCGGCTCTGGAATGCACTTCCTCTAAACAGTGGAAATACTAAACAACGCTGTTTAAGAGTACGGTGCGGGAACATTATTTGAATCTATTACATAGTGCTTAAGTTAATCAGGATACTAATATCGGACACTATATTATAGGTATATTATGTGTATATATATATATGTGTGTATGTATGTATATGTGTATGTATTAAACGCTATTTAATTTTGTTTTTTCATTGTTTGATGTTTGCTCTTTACTATGATTGTCTGCCGTTTTATTGACTCTGCACGTTCTTTCCGGTTGACTGGTAGAGAATGCCATGCTGGCATTAAGTCCGCCATATGCAATGTAAAGCCATTAAAGATTAAATAAATAATACTGAACTCTATGATTTTTTTTGACGTTAATATTACTTGCCTATCCCCACAACTGAATACCATAGGTCCTTGAGAATGGTTCTGTAAAGCAGTGAAGGACTGACACCCATATTTTTAGTCGTTTCCTCGAGATTTTTTCCACTCGACTCGACCTCATTCGAGGAAATCCGTATGCTTAGACAACAAAAATATCCTTCACTTGAGATATTCCTTGCTCGAGTGGTGTTTAAGGTTTTTTCAAGTTGTTTTTATCGAGAATTATGTCTGATTTTGAGATTATTGACGAATTGGTGGATTTTATGGATTACGTATACGATGATGAACCATAAAATCCGGCGCGACGGTATTTACGTGACGCCGAAAAACCTTTTGAGGTTTACGACAATGATTCGTTTCAAATAAGATTTCGGTTTAGAGAGATACAGTCATACAAGTAATATTAGATTAATAAATTGTAAAAATGGGTGCGTGTACTTATGTAGGCGCGTGAGAAGTTATCCTTCTTTGGCATCGTTTAAAATTAGTTTTTAATTGCATGCAAATAATTAATTACAATAAATTAATAAAAAGTCTGGAAAAGGACACAATCAATAAAGTTCAGTTTTAATTTGAAAAAATAAATAAATAATCAAAGTATTCAATTAAAATCCCTACTGAATATAATTTATTAGAACATATGTGAATTGCACTTGTATGAAACTCAAACACGTATTCCGAATATACAAACTAGAAACATGTGGATAAATATTATAAATATGAATACCTATAATTGTTACTTTATTACAAAAAATAAAGATGTGGTTTTTGGTTCTACTACACCAATGGTCAAGAGATGGCGCTGTAGTCTCCTGAATCGCGCTTTGGTTCCGTTGTTCCAGATTAATAAATATGTACTTTTGATATTATAAATATGAATACCTATAACTGTTACTTTATTACAAAAAATAAAGATGTGGTTTTTGGTTCTACTACACCAATGGTCAAGAGATGGCGCTGTAGTCTCCAGAATCGCGCTTTGGTTCCGTTGTTCCAGATTAATAAATACTTTTGATATTATAAATATGAATACCTATAACTGTTACTTTATTACAAAAAATAAAGATGTGGTTTTTGGTTCTACTACACCAATGGTCAAGAGATGGCGCTGTAGTCTCCAGAATCGCGCTTTGGTTCCGTTGTTCCAGATTAATAAATACTTTTGATATTATAAATATGAATACCTATAACTGTTACTTTATTACAAAAAATAAAGATGTGGTTTTTGGTTCTACTACACCAATGGTCAAGAGATGGCGCTGTAGTCTCCAGAATCGCGCTTTGGTTCCGTTGTTCCAGATTAATAAATACTTTTGATAGGCCTTCACAATGCAGTCGTTAGGTCGCTAAAGCGACCAACTTCATGCTGTTAAAATTTTGTGTTACAGTGATGCGCGCGCATCTTAAAATTTCACTCTCATCATTTTTTCATAACGCGCCTAAAGAAGTATAACTTCAATAACAGAGGACTACCTGTACCGCCTTTAAAATAGGTATTTACTAGTGTCCGACCGAAATTTCGGTTTCGGTTTCGGTTTCGGCCAGTTTCGGCCAAAAAATCAAGTTTCGGCCCGAGTTTCGGTTTCGGCCAAAAACGGCCGAACCTTTCGGCCGCGCCGAAACTTACAACATCGTACCTTCGGGTCGCGCTCGGCTAACGTCGGGCGCGCTCGGCACGGCTGGCAATATGGCGTCGCTCGCCTGACTCCGCCGGTAACTACCTAAATCAGTGCGCTTTGCTCGTGTAGACGTTATATTATTTTTAATTAGATAATTAGTTATAAAAAATAAAAAGTATAAGTATAGATTTGTTACTATAAAAGGTTCGCTAAAATGATTACCAAAGGTGATCAATTTGATTATTTTGATTATCTAAATAGGTATATTTGAATTAGCCATTCGAGGCTAACTGATTGTGATATTTGTGAGTATAATTAAAATGTAAGTAACTGAAAATAAATAAACATATATGAGCATCATATTTTAATAATAAAGGAGATTGTTCAAATTAGCCCAAATGTACAAACAATATTGTTTTACATTCATTAGATTTTAACGGACACTTTTGTACAATATATTCATTTTAAAAAGGACTTTTAATTTTACCGGTTTGGAAAACATACGAATAATTTTTAATGGCTATGGGTGTAGTAACATTCAGCCAAAGACAGATCGAAGTTGTTTATATAACATCAAAACAAATATATTTTGTAAAGGTGGATAAAATATTTTTTTTTTTTACACTGTGGTATTAATATCCACAATTATATTATCATTTTCTCTACATGAAAATGTGCTAAGACAATTATTATAGATGGTAGGCGACATCATAAAGTCTATTGCCATACATTTTTGCCAAACACCTCCATAAACACATTATAAGGTGTGATACACCAAAAATCTAAAATATGGTTATAATATAAACATAACAAAAATAATGACGCAACTGAAGATGTAGCTGTAACCTAAATCTCTTAGCTTTCTTTGGTTAACGAGAGTTTAAAAATTCTCTCTAATCTGTGGCTCATTCACAATCATCACACAGTTTCTGTCACAGAGTTATTATAACCGGATATGCATAGATGATACCTGATTTTAAAAGTAACTCTTGTGCATTAACTAAAAACAGGCAACTATCTTTTAATCTACATGCTTTATGTACCTGAATCTAATACATAATTTCTGTACTTGGCTTGATTTCCCTAGCTTACTATATAACTTATTTGTTTTTTATTATTTTAATACTTAAGTACCTATTTGCAAACATAACCTCAAAATCATTCAGTGTATATGGTTTGTAGAAGTTCTTATGGGTGTCCGTCAATAATATTCGTTGCTACAGTAATTTATATATAATTTCGAATCTAGGAAACATTTTTTTATGATTATTGGTCTTTAGGCCAAACAAGTATGGAAGCTGAGCCATCTCCTTTGTTTTATTTTATACTACCATTAAAAAATCGCTAACTTTGTGTTACAAGTAATGTATTTTTTTCACTTTATAGGGTAGTTAAATTTTCAAACAGAACCTTTGTAACTGTGCTGTAATTTCATTGTGATAAATCTTTGAAAGTAGAAACCTGTAATTATAGCTCGGCGAGACATTAATTTTACAAAAAAAACGGGCTTACTAACATTTTTTCGACTTTTTTTTTTATAAAAGGTTCGGTTTCGGTTTCGGTTTCGGCCGAAACTACAATGAAACCGAACCTTCGGTTTCGGTTTCGGTTTCGGCAAAATAACATGTTTCGGTCGGTCACTAGTATTTACCTATGTTTGTTGTGTGATATTTTACTTTACACATTTAATATGTCTATGCTTTTATGCTTTATACCTTTGTTTGTACTCCCAGTAGAGGAATTCTCAAGTTTGTTCAAGATACCTATTAGAATATCATTTTTAAGGTTATTTGGAGGAACTCCTTAAGGAGCCCTCGAATGAGTAAGAGTCGAGGAACGTTTGAGGACGCGACTAAGAATATGGGTGTAAGTGCGGAAACCTTAACCCCTAACATAGAAGAACATAGTGGTCCATGACACTCACGTTTGCTATTTCTCTTCCCAGGGCGGGGCAGTACCAAAACTAGTGGCCTTATTGGCCCGGGGCGGCACCGTAGGGGAGCAGAGCGCCTGGGCCCTCGGCAACATAGCCGGGGACGGCGCCGGCCCCAGGGACTCCGTGCTGAAGAGCGGAGCCCTACAAGCCCTGCTGCCGCTGCTGACTGCTGGCACGCAGCCCGCGCAGCTGCGCACCGCCGTGTGGGCCTACAGCAACTTCTGCAGGTGAGCGTGATCTTCAGCGGCGGCGGTCACCCATCTTTTTCCAAACCATCGAGGGGGGTGCTGCACTTTCTTTATGGAATGTGTTTTTTTAGCAAAGTCTACGTCATGGTTATTAAGACGCGTCTCGGTCACCCATCTTATTCTAGACTATCGAATGTGTGCTGCACTTTTTATTGATTGTCATTTTTAGCAAATTTCGTCACGGTCAATGGTTGAGGCTCGATCATTTTATAGACCATATATAGAGAGGCACTCCACGTTTGGTTTTTCTAGCGATTGTAATTTTAAAGAAATTTCGCCGCCATCCATCATTTTAGACTAGAGCTTTTAGAATCGATCTCCAGCACAGCTCCCGGAATATACTCACAGAATCCGATGAACAGGTGAGGCCATCCATCGATGATGTCATCATTATCAGTCACGGTCACCCATCTTGTTCCAGACCATATGTAGGGGTGCTTCACTTTTTTATCGATTGTGAATATTAGCAAATTACTGTCAATGGACGAGTATCGGTCACCCATCATTTTATAGACTAGATCTTGTATTGAACTAGTAGCCATATTAGCCGGGGGTGGCCACCCATCTTTTTCCAAACCATCGAAGGTGCTGCACTTCTTTTATTGAATGTGTTTTTTTAGCAAACTCCACGTCATGGTTAATAGACGCGTCTTGGTCACCCATCTTATTCTAGAGGGGGTGTTGCAGTTTTTTTTATTAATTGTCATTTTCAGCAAATTTCACCCATACTTTTCCAAAGCGTCGAAAGCAGTTCTGCAGTTTTTTCTTTAATTCAAATTCAAAATAGGGTATTTGACAGTATTAAAAATAAAGGGCCAACTGTTAGTATCTGTGTTTAGAATGAATATTGGCAGGGGTTTTTACTATTTTTACAAAAAAAATATTCATAATTTTACTAAAAACCCACGAAAAAGAAAATAGTTTTCTTATCTATTGTCAAGTGACCCTAAACGCTTGGGATTGGCGGAGCCTAAAATGACGTCATAAGCAAGTAAACTTCCGGTTAAAGTGACATTACATTGTATCGTTTGACGTTTTAATAACAGTCTTGTGACGTCACACACTAGTAAGATGCCATATTGTCCAGAGAAACGTTTTCGCGACAACTTAAAATTGGAGTTTTTGATTTGGTTATTTTTACTGAAATACACAACAGAATGATGAATATCCACTTTTTACAGACTCCATAAACATTAGTCAATAACGTGAGATCGTTTTCTAAAACTTGTCAAATACCCTATTGTTTATTGCAGACAGATTATCTGTCCCAGTTAGTAATTACAATAAATGATTTCAGTTCCCTTATTTTGTTTCAGAAACAAGAACCCGATGGTGAAATTCGAGTATGTGTCACCAGCGCTGCCATACATCTCAGAGTTGTTGGAGATTACCGATCAAGATGTCCTTGGTAAGTTATATTATAACTAGCGGCCCGTCCCGGCTTCACACGGGTGTATTAAATACTATGTAAATATAATGAATCAGCATTTATATCTAGAATACAAAGAAAAATTAACAACAAATAAACAAAAGGAAACAGTGGAAGAGCTTTTCACTATATAACGAAAAAACAATTTTACACAAGCTACACAAACAAATTGGAAGGACGTAAATTCAATGAAAGAAAATTCAGTTCCACACGCATCGCTTAGGGAACCTCGGTTTTTATTTTACGGTATTCAATTTTAGATTTTTTTAAATTTTCAAATACTGCTTACGTCACGTTCTATTGTGTCTTACGCTTGTTCTTTTTTTTAATATTGTATTGGTTCTGAAATGAGAAAGTCTGAAAGTCTGTTTTTTTATAATTATTATATATAGGTATGGAGCATTACAATGTCTCCATCCGTATATTGAATATCTATAGAAATACCTACTATATAGCTGTCCCAGCGAACTTCGTACCGCCATAAAAAAATAGGGGTTGGTGGTAGAAGGGTGAAAATTAAGGGTTATATGTATTTTTGTATGATGTATGATAAAAAAATCATAAAAAAAATTTATCTAAAATTAAAAAAAATGGGGGGGGGGGGGCGGTACCCTTAACATTTAGGGGGATGAAAAATAGATTACATCCGATTCTCAGACCTACCCAATATGCACACAAAATTTCACAAAAATCGATCGAGCCGTTTCGGAGGAGTTTAACCACAAACACCGCGACACGAGAATTTTATATATTAGATATAAACAATATCGACACTGGTCTCGATTCTTGTATGATTCTCTAAACTTACAACTAAACTAGCTAACCCAGCGAACTTCGTATCGCCATAAAAATATGGGTGGTAGAGGGGTGAAAATTAAGGGTTGTTTGTGTTTTTAATATTACGATACATATTTAACGTAGGTAGATTTTTTTTCTTCAGACGATTTAATAATTATTTTGAACACAAAATCGGTTATTGTGATTAAACCATGATAGCTAGATATATGTTCTCGCGGACTTTTTTGTAGGTCTTAATGGGATCTACAAACCCGTAGTACATCATTTTGTTCTATTGTCAATAGTTTTTGCAGCGCACGCAAAAATAGGTTTTCGATTTTACACCTTGTGTTACAAAATAGCAATTTTATAACGGATCCCTAATTTTGAAAAAAAAATATATAGCCTAAAGCCTTGCTCGATAAATGGACTACCCAACACTGAAAGAATCATTCAAATCGGACCAGTAGTTCCAGAGATTAGCGCGTTCAAACAAACAAACAAACTCTGCAGCTTTATAATATTAGAATAGATTCAACCTGTATACAGAATGACCAGGATGCACTGTTGTCAAATTTAAGTTTAGGTTTAGAGAATCGTGCCAGAATCAATCAAAAGAAAACGACGGGTTTCTCTCCGGGGGTGCCGGCAGAAGTGAAAATTTGAATATTAACATTATGCATTTTTGATATTTTGGAATGGTTAGGGAATAATTTTGCACGAATTGCTTTAATTATCAGTATAAAAGTACCGTCATGTATGTGGTAGAATACAATATTTATTTATTGCTCTATCGTACACAAACATGACAATTTATATTACACTAGTGGCCCGCCCTCGCTTCGCTTCGGTGTAGAGCTGTAGTGTAAACTATACTTTTTGTTCTCAGGCTTGTGCTATAAAGAATGACTTTATTTATATAATTACACGTGTTATTGTGAGTCAACCATAAAAGATAGACATATGCTGTTGCGGGATATTTTTTAGACAATTTTATCCTTACACGCCTGAATAGCTCGCAGATTGCAGAATTTTTTCAGACTTAAATGACATTTATCGTTATATTTTGGACAATTCACACAATATCTTTATAAATTATAGCCTATGTGTTATTCTGATCTATAAGCTACATTACTGTAAAGTTTCATTAAAATCCGTTTAGTAGTTTTTGCGTGAAAGAGGAACAAACATCCATCCATACATCCATCCAAACAAACTTTCGCCTTTATAATATTAGTAAGGATTAAAAAAGTTTATCTCTCAGAAAAATAATATTACATTAAAAAAGTTTATCTCTCAGAAAAATAAACTTTCATGAATCACGTTTAAGCGCACTTAGCGATATCTATTGTAAAGAAATCAACTTACATAAATCACATTTAAGCGCACCTAGCGACATCTATTGTAAAAACAATGCATTTTCTTCGCAATAAAGCTGCCACGTGGACGTCCTAGATAGAGACTTATTATTATAATACGGTAAAATAAAATATTACTCTGTTTCGTCCAATATATTGAAAGTCAACAACCTTTCCAATTTTATTGTGTGTCATGATGCGATCAGCCCACGTGTTTAACCTTTTTTACCCATACAAAAAAAAGTGTACAACTCCGCTAAAGGAGTTTTCACTTCAAAAAAAGGATTTCTTGACGGGATTTCATCGAGTGCGCTTGGCGTCTTATTTTCCTAATCTAACCTAACCTATTATTTGTTACGGCTGTTGATGATAAAGAAGATAAGGAACAATGACGAATACGTAGCTCTCGACACGATACGAGGAGTTCGATGGCGTAGGTGGTTAGCGACGTTCGGCTGCGATCGTTGAAGTTAAGCAACTTTCGCAGCGGTCGATCATTGGATGGGTGACCAAAAATCTTGTATCTGTACCTTCGTGCTTCGGAAGGCACGTTAACCCGTTGGTCCCGGCTGCATCTGCAGTCGTTAGCACCCGCCAATCCGCACTGGGCCCTCTTGGTGATCCACGGCCCAATCTCCCTATTTCATCCGTAGGCAAGGCCTGTGCCCCAGCAGTGGGGATATTAATATGATGATGATGACTTCTTTTCTTTAGATGTAATCAATATTTGTTTTCCTTACAGCCGATGCTTGCTGGGCCCTCTCATACCTCACCGATGGCCCAAACGATCGCATAGAAGCAGTCCAGAACACCACAAACCTTCTACCCAGACTCATATCGTTGTTGGAACACAAGTCTCCCGCTGTCAGAACTCCAGCTTTGAGAGCCGTGGGGAATATGCTCACAGGGTCCGATGAACAGGTAAAAACAGGTGTTAATAGGTCACCTATCTTATTCCAAACCATGTCTAAGGGTACTTAACTTCATATTTTGATTTTTAGCAAATTTCTTTGCGGTCAATGGATGAGTCTCGGTCACCCATTATTTTATAGACTAAAATCTAGATTTTTTAGAAGAGTCCGGAAAAGGTAAGGACCCATCGATGATGTCATTACGGTCAACCATCATTTTATAGACTAGAATCTAGAGCTTTTAGGAGATTCCAGAACACCACAAACCTTCTACCCAGATTCATATCGCTGTTGGAACACAAGTCTCCCGCTGTCAGGACTCCAGCTTTGAGAGCCGTGGGGAATATGCTCACAGGGTCCGATGAACAGGTAAAATCCATCATCAGCAGTCTGTTAATAGGTCACCCATCTTATTCCAAACCATGTCTACAGGTGCTTAACTTTATATTGTGATTTTCAGCAAATTTCTTTCTTTGGATGAGTCTCGTCACCAATTATTTTATAGACTAAAATCTAGATTTTTTTAGAAGAGTCCGGAACAGGTAAGGAACCGTCGATGATGTCATTACGGTCACCCATCATTTTATAGACTAGAATCTAGAGCTTTTAGGAGATTCCAGAACACCACAAACCTTCTACCCAGATTCATATCGCTGTTGGAACACAAGTCTCCCGCTGTCAGGACTCCAGCTTTGAGAGCCGTGGGGAATATGCTCACAGGGTCCGATGAACAGGTAAAATCCATCGTCATCAGTCTGTTAATAGGTCACCCATCTTATTCCAAACCAAGTCTACGGGTGTTTAACTTTATATTGTGATTTTTAGCAAATTTCTTTCTTTGGATGAGTCTCGCTCACCAATTATTTTATAGACTAAAATCTAGATTTTTAGAAGAGTCTGGAACCATGCCATAATGGCTTCCTAAATATAACCATAATTGTTATTTCTTCTTTCAAAAATTCAATACTTGTAAAGGTATTCATTTGACATTGTGGGTTACTTACAATGCGAAGAGATGGCGCTGCTTTGCAGCCTAAGAAATGCTAGAGAAAATTCGACACTGCCATTAGGGACGCGGTAGCATATCGGTCAGTGCATCCGCCCAGATAGCGGAGGGTACGGGTTCGAGTCCCGTCTGCTGCCTGGTCCGCGTGGAATTTTTCTAATCATCATAGCCTATTAATGTCCCCACTGCTGGGGCACAGGCCTTCCCAATGGATGAAATGGGGAGATTGGGCCATGACTTATCACGCGGGCCCAGCGCGGATTGCCGGGTGCTAACGACTGCAGATGCAGCCGGGACCAACGGCTTAACGCGCCTTCCGAAGCACGGAGGAACCCGAAACAGAAGGTCACCCATCCAATGACCGACCACTGCGAAAGTTGCTTAACTTTAACGATCGCAGCCGAACGCGCTAACCACTCGCGCCATCCAGCTCTTTTCTAATCGAGATTTTTCTAATAATATCTATGACGACCTCCGTGGTCGAGTGGTTTGTACGCAGGGTTTCATGGTGTCACCGACTCGAAAGGTCCCGGGTTCGAATCCCGGTAGCGGCAGATGTTTTTGTGATGAATACGAGCATTTGTACTCCAATCATGGATGTTTAATATGTATTTCTATATAAATATACTTATATATGTACAGTATATGTATTCTATCCGTTACCCTAGTATCCCATAACACAAGCCTTACAGTGCTTACTTTGGGGCTAGGCTTATTGATGTGTTTAAAAAAAATCTAATCTATTATTTAATTTTGATTTATTTTGTTCCTACAGACAGATCGTTGCCTAGAAGCTGGGTGTCTAGATCACCTAGTGACCCTCCTCCATTGCGGCAAAGCGTCGCTAATGAAGGAAGCCGCTTGGGCAGCTTCGAACATTCTGGCCGGTACCAGCGAGCAGATACAGAAGGCCATAGACAAGCAGATTCTACCTAGTCTACTGCACGTGCTAGCCTATGATGACCTCAAGTGAGTTAAATTTGATAATTTTAGTGTTCGTACCTTAAAAGGCAAAAACTTGAACCCTTATAGGATCACTTTGTTGTCCGTCCGTCAAGGCCATTTTTCTCAGGAACGCGTGGAGGTATCAAACTGAAATTCATATCTCATACTCAGGTCTACTGTCCCTTGGAGCTGTGAAAAAATCAAACTTGTAAGCCAAAGCAATCAAAAGATACAGCCGTTTATGCCGCAAATTTCCGCAAATTTTCGAAAATCGCACGGAAATTAAAAAGGGGTAGAGTCATTTGCTTACCTCTATATATAAAAAAAGACATAATACGGTAAAATAAAATATTGTTTCGTCCAATATATTGAAAGTCAATTTTATTGTGTGTCATGATGCGATCAGACCACGTGTTTAACCTGACGCGAGTTTAACATTTTTTACAAATACAAAAAAAAAAGAGTACAAAGCCGCTAAAGAAGTTTTCATTTCAAAAACATACAATGACATTTTAACCCTTAGGTGTCAAAAGGAAGCAGCCTGGGCCATAACCAACTTGTGTCTGGGCGGTTCTGGACCTCAATTGGACGCTTTATTATCAGCCGGATTCCTGGAACCTTACTGCGCTCTGCTCCATGCCCCAGACCATAGAGCTATCACCGTTGTATTGGACGGACTTACTAATTTACTGCAGGTAAGTTACTGGAATTAGAAAAGAAATATCTCTTTTAACAGTATAGGTTCTACTTCTTGTTATGTTATAATCTCCTGGTACTATACAACAAATGTTCAGTAACCTTAGCACGAATCAATATCGAATTCGTAACGTTTGCGAGTCCGAAATGTCATTGTCAAATGTGTACTGATTTTTAGTTCTCGTTGCGTCCAAAGTGACGCTGCTGTTCAAGTTTCCATTCAAAATTTGACATTGACATTTCGGTTTGCAAACTATTTGACTTCGATAATGGTTCGTGCTAGGGGTACAGGTAAACTTACCTGTTTAACTACTAGAAAAAGAATATTTCTTTATCGCTTGTCACACTGTAGGTACTACTTCTTGTTATGTTATAATCTCCTGGTACTATACAGCAAATGTTCAGAAGGCGACTGACTAACTTACTGCAGGTAATTGAATACTTCTTGTTTTATTATGATCGCCTGGTACTTTATGGATAGACTTACAGCAGGTAATATTATGTCCTGTCTATCTTCTGATCTCCTAGTTGCGCAATACAAAAAAAGGCCTTTTGCCTATATATTATGATCCTCTCGTACTTCTAAGCAATGAATCATCGATACTACATACTCGAGCATTTACCATTGGTAATTTAATACTTCTTGTTTTATTATGATCGCCTGGTACTTTATGTTAAAAGTGTATTGGGCCATCAGAAGAGACTAATAGTAAAAGAAAAATTAATTTAACACTTCATTAAATCACGTCTGTTTTATTCAGACTTAAGTTATGGTTAATTTTATTCATCAAACTTAAAAGTTAGCCTTCTCTTAGTGTAGGTAAATTACCATTTCATGTTGTATTAAGATGTACAATGAATCGTAAAACTATTCAGAGCAGTCAACGTAAATGACCGATTCTTTTAATATGAGCTTTACGAATGCGGCGAAAATTGGAACTAACGCCGCCGTCTTTGTAAACGTCACATTTTGTATGACTTTCACGTAGACACAGTGCCGCCCTCTCTGAACTGTCACACACATTCATAAACATTCTTGTCGCACTGTAACTTGTGTCTGGGCGTTTGTGGCCCCCAATTGGACGCTTTACTATCGGCCGGATTCCTGGAACCTTACTGCGCTCTGCTCCATGCCCCAGACCATAGAGCTATCACCGTTGTATTGGACGGACTTACTAATTTACTGCAGGTAAGTTACTGGAATTAGAAAAGAAATATCTCTTTTAACAGTATAGGTTCTACTTCTTGTTATGTTATAATCTCCTGGTACTATACAGCAAATGTTCAGAAGGCGACTGACTAACTTACTGCAGGTAATTGAATACTTCTTGTTTTATTATGATCGCCTGGTACTTTATGGATAGAATTACTGCATCCTGTTATCTTATGATCTCCTGGTTACGAAATACAGAAAACAAAAACGAGTGTGCTTATGACCTCACGACTGAAGTTATATATATATATATATATATATATATATATATATATATATATGTGTGTGTGCAATATATACATGTATGTACATATACATATTTCATTTACTAGCTATAAGAGAAAGAGAGAAAGAAAATGTGCGCGCGCACTGCTTCCCCACTCAACTCCCGTTCGCCTCATTAATTACCACCGACGGATTAACGTGCCTTTTGAAGCAAGGAAGAGCTCGAGATAGTAAATTTTTGGTCACCCATCCAATGACCAACCACTGCAAAAGTTTCTTAACTTCAACGATCGCAGCTGAATGCGCTAACCACCGGCGCCATCGAGCTCCTCACTTGAATATTACTAAAAATTTATTGAATTTTAATAATTTATGCTCCGATTTATTTTTCGCAGGCCGCTGTGAAATACGGTCAAGTCGAGGCACTATGTTTCAAGCTGGAAGAGATCGGTGCTTTGGACCAAATTGAGCTGCTGCAACAGCACGAAAACGTGGATGTAAGTTACTGATTTTAAGCAACTTTAAGATGGTCTAGATTTTGATGTAAAACATCTTATGGCGCCCGTAAAACGAAATATATACCAATGCTCAACTACTCGCCGATCAGTATGGCACCAGCGCCCTTCGAGGAAGGACCTGTGTCATTTTTTGCCGCACGCATCCCGAGCAATTCTCCGAGTGTATCAATCGTAATCTTTGTATATATACAAGTATGACAACAGTCCCTCCTTTTCACCCCTTAAAGAGTATGATAAGGACAAATTGAGCAATAGCTAATGCGAATAGCCATGGGAAATGACGGTATTACTCAATCACGCATAAAGGGCTGAACGGATTTGAATAAAATTTGACAAAGAAATGGTTTATTACTGGATTGAGGCATAGGAAGAAAAATGCCATGTTCCTATGAGATGCTCATAAAACTAATAGGATGAAGTCTTGAGTCGTAATTAGTGATATAATAAAGAGCAAAGATTTGTTTGTTTTGTAACGAATAAACTCAAACACTACTGGACTGATTGAAATATTCTATTCTTCAAAGGTTCTCTGAACATAGCTAAATTAGGTCTGCCAGTAACTGCACCTTTTCAATGAATTTTCAGGTTTACAAGAAAGTCTTGCACATCCTGGATACATACTTCGCTGACCAAGAAGACCAAAGCACCGAACCTGAGAAGACCGCTGACCAATTCGAATTCGGGACCAACCAGAATAACCAGGAAATCAACTTCTGATTAATGAATTATTAAATAAATCCAAAAATGTTTAACCGATATTGCTAGCGAATGATGTTAAGCTAAATACTGTCTTTAATTCAGCCTAGAACTGCCGCTGAATATTTGCTAGTAGTTCTTCTAGTTAATTATTAAACAAATCTAAAAATGTTTAACCGATATTGCTATCAAATGATGTAAAGCTTATTTCAGTCTTTAATTCAGCCTCGCACTGCCACTCGCTATTTGCAAATCTACTTCTGGTTAATTATTAAACAAATCTAAAAATGTTTAACCGATATTGCTAGCGAATGATGTAAAGCTAAACTCAGTCTTTAATTCAGTCTTGAACTGCCACTGAATATTTGAAAATCAAGTTCTGGTTAATTATTGAACAAATCCAAAAATGTTTAACCGATATAGCTAGCGAATGATATAAAGCTAAAATATATTTTTTAATTCGGGACAATTTTTGTTTGATACTCCTCGATTTTACGACAGCCTGGTACTGCAACTGAATATTTGTAAATCAACTTCTGATTTATTTATTGAACAAATGAAAACATATATAACCAATATCGCTATGGAACTATGAAAAACTAAAAACCTTGTTTGATCCGGTGTAAAACTAAATACAGATTTTAATTCAGGACAATTTTTTGTTAGGTACTCCTTGATTTTATGGCAGCATGGTACTGCAACTGAATATTTGCAAACCAACTTCTGATTTGATTTATTGAACAAATCAAAAAATGTTTAACCGATATCACTATGGAACTATGAAAAACTGAAAACCGTGCTTAATCCGGGACAGCTTGAGTACTCTCACTGGATATTTATGTAATCAAATAGAACAATTTAGCAGTAAAATCAAATTAGGTATATAACTTACTCCCAAGATTTTAGAAAAACTTTTTTTTTATAATTATCTACACTATTAGATTTACAATATGGCTACTAGATTGTATAAATGGCGTTGAGCGCCGTTCCGACAGACTGATTTGTGATAATGTTGTTTATAAATCTAACTTTTAAGATACTAGGTATTTGAATAAAGAAATCTTGCTTTTTATAAGAAAGTTTTTTTATTTCACCTATGTTTTTTTACAGCTCCAATTATGTAGTGCTTATTTCTTTGTATTGTGTGCAGAAGGCTTATAACAAACAGTATAATGCGATTCAAGTAAGGATAGGACCGACTGGGCGCCATATTGTGATGTCATAGCTGTCAATTCAAACCAAATAGGTAGAGTGAGTATAAAGGATAGAAATAAAACCACAGCGTTCACCTTAAGTAACGACAGAAAAAAGCCGTTGTCTTTAATTACCACCAAAAAATTTTACAAAATTATTCAAAAACACCTTCATTATAAAAGTTAATTTAGTTATCCTCTAGGTCAACAGATGGCGTTAGTAGTACACGAAACTATAATAAGATACATTGTTTTTAATGATTTTTAGAAGATTTTACCAGATAATTATTTATATTTTCTTTTCATAACTATTATTACTTATTTAAATTAAAGCACAGGCTCAGAAATGCGTCGCCTACAATCCGACCCCTTAGTGCTGATTTCTATTCAGCACTACATTCCGTTGGTGTTAAAAGAGCGACGCGTGTCGCTGGACGTCTCAGAATACCAGTGCGTGTACGCACGTCCACTACCCTGATGCGTCCATCATCACCAGCGTGAGTCGCACTCACTACCCCGTGTCGCCACTGTCCTCGTTCTAAGTTAGGCTCAACAATCAGGACATAATCTCCCTCTTGTAAAGACCTTTCCTCGGTAGTCCATTTCTGACGAGGCAATAACGTAGGTAAGTATTCACGAGTCCAACGAGTCCAGAACATATCCGTTAACCTTTGTGCTACTCGCCACTTTTTACGAAGACTCAAATCTATGTCATCATATTTACCAAACGACGAGCTAACTGAGGAGGTGCCAATGAGAAAATGATTTGGCGTTAAAGCTTCCGGAAAACAAGGATCCTCGGAAACATGCGTTAAGGGACGACTATTAACGAGTGCTTCAACTTCGGCCATCAAAGTTATGAGAGTTTCTTGGTGTGGTGCTCGTTCTTTCAGAATAACTTTCAACGCGGACTTTACCGAACGTACCATACGCTCCCATGCACCACCCATCTCAGGTGCACCGGGGGGTATAAAACGCCACTCGATACCTCTTACTAAACCGTCCTCTTCTAATTTATCCCTGTTCAATTCACAAAGGCTCCTTTGTAATTCGGTAGCTGCTCCACGAAGGTTTGTGCCGTTGTCCGAATATATGACACTAGGTTGACCTCGTCGCGCTATCATCCTCCTCAAAGCCAGTATAGTCGAATCTGTAGTGAGATTATCGGTTATCTCAAGGTGGACAGCACGAATGGTCAGACAGGTAAACAGAACTCCGTAGCGCTTTTGTCTTCCGCGTCCGACGGTTACCTCCATGGGGCCAAAAAAGTCCATTCCTGTGAATGTGAATGGACGCCGGTTGTGTTGCAATCTTGCGGCCGGTAAATCTGCCATACGTTGTGGTTTCGGACACGCACGACGATACCTACAAAACAGGCAGCGACTAGCGATTGTACGAACGGTAGGCCGTAATCTCACAATCCAATAACGTTGACGGATCTCATTGACTACTAATTCATTAGCACCATGCAATGCCCGTCTATGATAGTACTCAACGAGCAGCTGCGACACACGGTGTTTCCCGTCAAGTATATAAGGTTGTATAGTGTCATGAGATATTCCATCAACCTTGCCTATACGACCTCCCACTCGTAGGAAACCATTACTATCCAAAAATGGTGTTAATTTTAATAACTTACTGCTAGGCATTAATGGCTTATTTTGTTTTAAACAATTAATTTCGGAAGAAAATGAGTCAACTTGACTTTTTTTCAAAATTAATTCCTCTGCCTCCTTCATTAAGCTAATATCAAATGAAACATTTTTATTTCGACATTTCCTAATAAAAAATAAAACTCTAGCAGTTGAACGAATAAGTTTAATCCAAGATGAAAACCGTAGTTCATCAGGTAAAGAAAAATTTAATTTTACTTCATCATATGACACAACTAAATGTATATTACGCTTCTCACAATCTAATCCCTCCGCGGAAACCACTCTCTTTAAGGGGGCAGGCCATCGCTCTTCAGGTAAAAGTAAAAACTCGGGACCTCGAAACCATGTATCTTTATATTGAATTGGCGGCGAATCTTCTTTGGTGGCTCGATCAGCTATATTTAAAGAAGTAGGTACATATCTCCACTCATTCGCTACAGTCAACTCGTCTATCTCGCCGAGCCGGTACGCAACATACGGTTTGTAAGTCCTCGGGTCACTTGAAATCCATTGGAGAACGGTGCTTGAGTCAGTCCAAAAATATCGCCTGTTAGGCTTTACAGTCTCCTGTTCCTTCTGCACAGTTTTAGCAAGTCGAGCAGCTATCAAGGCTCCCTGTAATTCTAGTCTTGGTACGGATATAGGACGTAGTGGAGTCACCCTACTCTTACTAACCACAAAACAAACTTTTACCGAACCATCTGAACGTGTAAATCGATAATAGATTACCGCGGCGTATGCCTTAATTGACGCGTCACAAAAAATATGCATTTGCGTATCAATGATAAAAAGGTCAGTCTCATGTGTGCATGACTCATCATTATCATAACACGGCGTCCACACACCTGCGTTGTCATAACAACGCGGCACGCGCAGCGCGCTAAGACACTTCAATTCATCTAACCATTTCAACCAACGATCGTTCTCAATAGGACGGATCTGACACTGCCAGTCCACCCCACTTCGATGCACATCTTGTAATAATATTTTACTTTTAATAATAAAAGGAGACAAGAAACCATGTATATCGTAAACTGACATAATTATGCTTAACATCATAGCTTTTGTAGGTCGAATAGTTCCATTTAAAATATGTTCGGGAATACGATTTAATGAAATACTAAAACCAAACGTATCATCCGTAGGATGCCATATCAATCCTAGTGTACGCTCACTTGTGTGTGTAGCTCCGTCTTTGAATTGAACAGCGGAGCGCGCGAGCGAGTCGTTCGGTATGTTTTCTAAAACCGGTTTGCTATTGCTCGCCCATCCTCTTATCTCGAAACCTCCGCTATTATGAATAGACGTTATTTCGCGCACTAACTTTATTGCCATTTGCTCATTATTTACAGTATAAAGACAATCGTCCATATAATGATTATTGAGAATAATTTTTACAGCGTCGGGAAACGAATCTTCGTATTTTAATGCATTCTTGTTCTTTATAAATTGAGCAATGAAAGGTGAACAAGTTGCACCAAAAATTAAACTTTGCATTACGCAATGTTTAATAGGTGAATCACTTGATTCTTGCCATAAAAAGCGACATACATTCTGGTCTTCTTTTCTAACTTTAATACGCAAAAACATATCTTTAATATCTGCAATAATTGCTATTTTATTCTCTCTAAATCTTAACATAATACCAAATAATGAATTGTATAAATCGGGACCAGTAATCAAATAATCATTTAAACAAATATTATCCACCCGACCGGCTGCATCAAAAACTAACCTTAACTTTCCTGGTTTATTTGGATTCTGAACACCAAAATGAGCCAGGTACCATACATGAGAAAAATCATCTTTTAGCTCTTTATCGCTAAGTTCTCGTGCGTAATTATTTTCAAGTAATCTAGCCATTTCTATTTTATATCTAGCGGCGTAATCGCTATCAGTGCTAAATTTTCGTAACAACAACTTATTTCGTGAAAATGCGTATTTATAAGAATTAGGCATAGTAAACTCATCCTTTTTGAACGGTAAGCCTACTTCCCAATGATTACCTATTTTCCGAGACGTATTCTCTAATATCTCCAATGCTCTAACATCAGCCTTATTTTCACGACATACGGTTGAAATTCCTACAGAATCAATATCGAACGAATTTTTTATCAACTCATTTAATTCAATAATATGAGATTTGTTTTTTTCGGAGTGAGCGAGATGAAAAATAGGTTCACTTACCTGAGTGAGCGAGTGAGTGCGACCACAGTAGCCATGAATGGACCATCCCAATCGACATTTAGTTGCATACGGCGCATTTCTGTTTCCGTGCCTTA